AAAGATGAAAGAACCAAGTTAAATGCTACCTTTGTAGTGTGTCTGGTTGTGGAACCGAAAATGCTCACCATTAATTTGTTTTCGTTGTCCACTCTTTTGCTCGGGTGTCGATTGAGTTTGGTTTGCATGATGGATATTGTTGCTGTGTTACCTAATCACATTTTAACACATGCTCATAACTTTACTACTTTGATCTCTCTCTCGAGATAGAGTTATAAAATTTCTTAATGAATGTTACTAATTTATCTTTTGCATAAAAGTCTTCAACCTTAGTATCTCTTGAAAAGTCTAATCATTTGAAAATATATTTATATTAATGAAAAATATTATTCTTAATTAAACTCAATGAGTATATTAGTCTACTGTCTCTATGTTCCAACATATAGTCCATTCTGGCGTCCTAACTCATATCATATTCCACAAACGCTATTCACTACAATCATGTCTCCCCCTTCTCCATTAACAGGTCTCAAATACATGTTCATCTTTTCTTCTTTCTACTATGTAATTTGCATGTTCTTTATTGCTATAACTCAATCATGTTTAAGGTTTTAATGTTACTCTGAAAACGGCCGTGACAAATGACATAGTTATTCATATTTTTTTAATGAAAAATAAATTATGGTTAATTCAGACTGTTAAGAAATTGCGAAAATTTTTACGCAAGCGTAATTTATGATAAAAACTTCGTGTTGAACATATTTCTTTTTTAAAATTGTATTCTATTATGTTATTACTATTTTCTCTAATGAACCTGAAATTTTTGCTATAATTCGATGCTGTGAATGTTAATATGTCTGCAGCTATGTTATTATGGCATGTCATTGCATGCCTTCTTGTTTCAAATTTGGCTTCTGTTTCAAGCCTTAATCATACAAAAGCAAGAAATGAAGTAATCATTGCTCATCACGGAGCTGTTGCGACGGATGACCACCGATGCTCTAAGATCGGGATGGATGCTATTGTTGAAGGGGGACATGCAGTGGATGCAGCTGTGGCTGCTGCCCTTTGTTTGGGGGTTGTTAGTCCAGCTTCAAGTGGTATTGGTGGTGGTAGCTTTATGCTTCTAAGTTTAGCTAATGGAGTAGCTAAGGCTTTTGATATGAGAGAAACTGCTCCTCTTCTTGCTTCCAAGGTATACCTCTCAATCATGGACAATTTTCCAAAACTCTGTGATCAAATATCATGTGTTTTGTGTTCGTGTCTGTGTCTGTGTTTTTTTTTTTTTTTTTATATCTTTACTTTTGAACCGAGTCGTTGAAATCACTCTTTTACGTCGTATGATACATTCACTTCTTCAAGGATATGTATGGTGGCAATAGTACTCTGAAGGCAAAAGGCGGCCTCTCAGTCGCAGTTCCAGGAGAACTCGCAGGCCTTCACAAGGCATGGTGTGAGACATTGGATCGAACTCTAGTGTGGTCGAAGTCTGTTCGCAAGTAATGCGTGTTGTAGTCGAAGTTTGTTCTAACATGCATGAGTAAATATTGCTAAGGTTGTTAGCATGAGTAAATATTGCTAAGGTTGTTAGCATGAGTAAATATTGCTAAGGTTGTTAGCATGAGTAAATATTGCTAGGGTTGTTAGCATGTTGAATTGGGTCTTGCTTGTAAGCCCAATTGTTTAAGTTAGCTTGTACCCTAAGTTAGCTTGTAATGGGTAATTGTTAAAAAGCCCATTAGATTAGTGTGCTATTTTATTATAAATAGGATGCTAGTTTCTCAATCTGAGAATAAGGAAAAATAGGAAGATTAAATCCTAATTTCAAGTGAGAGAGGTTATTTTGTTATTCTTGTATACTTGTAATCTTGTTCAAAGAGAAAGGAAAGAATAGCAGTTTAATAACCAATCCTTGTTGTTCCTTGTTGTTTTACCTTGTTTTCTTTGTTAACCCTAACCCTTGTGTGTTTCTTGATCATTAAGAAACCGTTTATACTTTGTTTAAAGGTATCCGATTCACAACAAATTGGTGCGGTGAGCGTGGAAAGATGCCTTCAACAAAGTATGAGATTGAAAAATTCACTAGAGTATACGACTTCGGTCTGTGGCGCTTGAAGATGAAAGCCCTGTTGGTTCAGCAGGGTTGTTTGGAAGCGTTGAAGGGTGAGGCAGCCATGGACGCTGCGTTAACGGAAAAAGAAAAGACGTTGCCCAGTTGCAAGTTTTTCCACTGTATGCAGTTAATAAAGCTGCATGAAGAAAACTAGTTTCTTGATGTTATAGAGTTAGATCCAAGGTGGAGATTTGTGAGACATTGGATCGAACTCTAGTGTGGTCGAAGTCTGTTCGCAAGTAATGCGTGTTGTAGTCGAAGTTTGTTCTAACATGCATGAGTAAATATTGCTAAGGTTGTTAGCATGAGTAAATATTGCTAAGGTTGTTAGCATGAGTAAATATTGCTAAGGTTGTTAGCATGAGTAAATATTGCTAGGGTTGTTAGCATGTTGAATTGGGTCTTGCTTGTAAGCCCAATTGTTTAAGTTAGCTTGTACCCTAAGTTAGCTTGTAATGGGTAATTGTTAAAAAGCCCATTAGATTAGTGTGCTATTTTATTATAAATAGGATGCTAGTTTCTCAATCTGAGAATAAGGAAAAATAGGAAGATTAAATCCTAATTTCAAGTGAGAGAGGTTATTTTGTTATTCTTGTATACTTGTAATCTTGTTCAAAGAGAAAGGAAAGAATAGCAGTTTAATAACCAATCCTTGTTGTTCCTTGTTGTTTTACCTTGTTTTCTTTGTTAACCCTAACCCTTGTGTGTTTCTTGATCATTAAGAAACCGTTTATACTTTGTTTAAAGGTATCCGATTCACAACACATGGAAACAACACGGCAAGCTTCCGTGGGAGAGACTTGTTAAACCAGCTGAGATTCTTGCTCTTAGAGGGTTCAAAATATCACCATACCTTCGCATGCAAATGGAAAAATCCGAGTCGGATATATTAAATGACAATGGTCTTAGTAGTGTTTTCGCACCACATGGGAAACTCTTGAAGGCAGGTGAAATATGCTACAACAAGAAACTAGCAGAAACTCTCGGAGCAATTTCGAAGTTTGGTCCACAAGTTTTGTATGGGGGAATAATCGGCGTTAAGTTGGTTAAAGATGTTCGAAAAGCCGGAGGGATATTGACTATAAAAGATCTCAGAAGTTACACGGTTAAACAAAAGGAGCCTATATCTATAGATTTTCTCGGATTAAAGATCCTTGGCATGCCCCCTCCTTCTGGTGGACCTCCATTGATGCTGGTAAGTCTATTTATTGTTTTCTTTTTATCGACAAAAAAGGACTTAGCCGATATGATTTTTCTGTTACAGCTGTTGAACATTCTAGCACAATATGAACTTCCTTCAGGACTTTCTGGTGCGTTAGGGATCCATAGAGAAATCGAGGCTTTGAAACATGTATTTGCTGTGAGAATGAATCTCGGCGATCCTGATTTTGTAAATATAACTGATGTTCTTTCGGATATGCTTTCTACTAAGTTCGCTCGAGCGTTGAGAAAAGACATCAATGATAATAGGACTTATAATTCGAGTCATTATGGTGGCAAGTAAGCTTCTTTTTCATTCACTTAATTAACTAGAAATTAGTTACAATAATCACGTTTAGCAGCTTAATTCCTTCTTTATTAATAGGTGGAATCAGATAAATGATCATGGTACAAGTCATTTAAGCATAATAGACTTTGAGAGGAATGCTGTTTCCATGACTTCTACGGTAAATGAATATTTTGGTGCAAAGATTCTTTCACCAAGTACAGGAATAGTGTTAAACAATGAGATGACTGATTTTTCCATGCCTATGAATGATTCCAAAGATGTTCCACCACCAGCTCCTGCTAATTTCGTCGAGCCGGGGAAGCGACCGTTATCGTCCATGTCACCAACTATTGCCCTCAAGGTTCTTAATTTTCACATTTTAAAATAGTTGATTATGAAAGTCTATGGTCATTGTTTTTAAGGTATTTAGTTTTTATATTGCAGAATGGAAAAGTGAAAGCAGTAGTAGGTGCAAGTGGAGGAATTATGATTATTGCCGCAACTTCAGAAGTTCTTTTGAATCATTTTGTCAAAGGAATGGATCCGTTTTCTTCTGTCACGGCTCCAAGGGTCTACCATCAGGTATAGAATCTTACATTTTCCTTTATTCGGGTAAGCTATCAAGCACGAACAAGTAAGCCTGACGCGGTGTCTTACACTACGTGTCGAGAAAGTCACTTCTCATAATTTGGCTAATTTGTGCAGCTGATACCTAACGTGGTCTATTACGAGAATTGGACAACTGTGAATGGTGACCACTTCGAACTTTCTGCCGATATCAGAGCATCCCTTAGAAGTAAGGGTCATGTCCTTCAGGGCCTTGCTGGTGGGACAATATGCCAACTTATAGTTTCAGACAATTCTGAGCATTCAAGAATGAACAAAGGTATCGGAAAGCTTGTCGCAGTAAGTGATCCTAGAAAGGGTGGTTTTCCTGCAGGCTATTGAACTAGTTATTGACATTTGTAATGAAAATGGATCGCATATAGCTGCAGCTGCGTGCAACAGCCACGAAAACCGCTAGATTTACAGAGTAGTTTTCTTTCATTAGATTTATCAGTTGTTGCTTTTTTCTTCATATTCAAGTATTTATCAAAGAAAGGAAAACAAACTATATCCACCAAAAGACTCGGTTTATTTCCAAAAATACAACTTTCATATTATATGCAATTTACAAGACAAACTTTCACACAGACTCAGAGTGCGTATTCTAAACATTTCATTTTGCAACAATCCGATATACATGGATCCAAAATTAATTTATTTACAAACTCGTATACGTGAAATGCGCAGTCATATTCACAGATTCTCCATAACACAAGACTGCAGGAAAAATTTGAGCAGCCTAAACCACAGATTTTACCTGGTTTCGACACTCACGGCCAATGAAAATGACGATACTCATCACATCATTGTTTCATATTACAAACTTTACATTATTGTAGTCATGTTGCAAGACTAAGCTGGTTCGCGTGGTCGATTAGACCATAGTGAGCTCAAAGCCCTCAGGCGTTGGAAATATTCTCCCAAAGCCAGCAAACAACGAGCTGACTGACGGATTGTAAGTATTCGCGACATTTGCTGTAAGGTTTCCTGCCGAAGATGGTCGGCCTGTTGTACATGAATCATGGTTAAATCTACGACTCTTCTAATCGGGAAAAAATTATTAAAATGAGAATGGTGATCAAGAATACTAGGTACAATACCTGATTCACAAAGCTTACGAGAGCGTCTAACCTCTCCATTGCAGAAGCCATTTGTGGAATATAAGTTCCTTCCATGAATTGTCCAGCTGCTACGCTATCAGCGAGTGTTTGCCGGAGTTTCTCCATGCCTTGCGAAAGGGCGTCTTCCGCTTGTTGACACGATTGTCCAAGGTTATCGATATCCAACCGTTGTTGCTCTGTCAATGGTTCAATCATTGGACCAAGAACCTGCAATTAAATCAAGATATAGACTTCCATCATCATACATATTACACATTTTTCATGCAATAACTGAATTCGAACAATCACCTTGAGAAGCTCAGAAGGGCGAAAGCCACCGATCCACAAGAAAAATCTTTCGGCTGTCGTTTTCCACATGCCGGACATGACATAAAAAACATCTGCTTTTGCAGCCGCGGATTTCATGCGATAGATTTCAGTATAATGGTTCATCATACCATCTACCAGAATCCTGAGCTCTATGTCACTAATATGCGCGTTTAAAGCAATTCTCATTTCTGAGATTTGCCGGTTTTGCTCCTCAACCCAATGTCCATACTCCATCTCAAAGGCTGCAATTCCTACAGATAAGGGTGTGTCCTTAGAATGCAATGCAAGAACTAATCGAAAAAATTAAAAGCTATACAAATAAAAACACATCACAAACCAACCTGAATTCATCGGTCCAACAAAACACATATTATTCGAATCCAACCCGCCACCCATATACATTCCCTGCAGTTTTGTTGCCTCGAGGTATTAGAGATCAGAAAACGAAAGAAGAAGACAGTGACATAAAACGAGCAAAAAGAGAAACTCGAGTAAAATAACAACTCATCTTCCCCATACCTGCTGTCTTACTCGTTCGAGCTCTTGCTCCAACTGCACCAACTTCAACCGACTTGATTCTAACTGTTGCACATAAGCCTGTAAGGAAATGTCTTGATCAGTATATCTATTCTAATTAGTAGTTACTCGCACGACATATTCATCAATTTTCAAACCTTTTTCCGCAACCGGCTCTTGCGAGCAGCCTCTCGATTCTGTGCAAGACGCCTTTGTATCTGCATATTTAATCACATCAGAAACAAAATTCACAGATATACACGTCTACGATTTCCAAAATTCGGAAGCAACGAATACAGATTATTCAAACTCTCACCTTATCAATAGGCCTACTAGCTTCTTGATCATACTTGTTAGATGTTCCAAGTATACTATGAGAAGCATCCTCTGACTAACCATTACACAACATCAATGCAATTCGGTTAGTAAACAGAACACCCAAACAATCTCATTTAACACAACTTTCATAAACAATAACTTACCTGACTACTATCGAATTTCAAATCCGCCTCATCGATCAACGGCATGGACGCGCTTAAATTCCCATTACTTCTATACCCTTCTCCCCACATATTAATCTGATGGATAGGATCATACACACTCATCCTCCTCGACGAAACAAACTGCGGCGAATTCATACTCAATCAACTCACTCTTACCCCCGCAGCAATTAAATCAGCCTTCAACACACCTTTATAGCACAAGAAAAAAATCCATTAAAGGAATCATAATTATTTTTCAATCACAAGAAAAAACAGAAAATAAACCAGATTCTGTTAACTAACTAACCTATGAAACAGCATCAAATTAAGAAACAAAACAAGAAATGAGTTATAGTTCATATATAGGAAGAAAAAAAACAAAAGAGAAAGGTATCTATCTATATATCTATTCATTGATTGATGTCATCATAATAGATAGATACTATGGGATTTTCAATTATTTGCTAGAATTAGAATTATTGTTGATAAACAAAAAAGGTAAAAGAGAAATATAAAAAGAAGAGAACCTTTAAAAGTTAGTTAGAGAAATGAGAAGGATTATGTTTTATTGGAAAGGTGGAGGTTATGAGTAATAGAGAAAAATTGCAGAAGTAATGAGTCTTGTTTCATGTTTTTGAGGGAGAGAGTCATAGTTAAATTATAATTTATGGAATATAAAAATGGTGTAATGAAAGAAAGTGTATTATAGTACTAAAAAAGAGGGAATGGGGAAGAGTGTTATTGGTTTGTTATTGGAGATTGAAGAGTGGTGGTTTGTAATGGATTTTTGTGCTTGCTTGTGTTGAGCTACAGAGAGTCAAATCAAATATAGTTTTCTTCCACTACTTCCCCTAACGTGCGCACTAGGTACAATATACCATATTATTGATTATTATTGTTGATTATTAATTTGGTTAATATTTTGAATAATCACTCTAGTGAGGTAACTAACATAGGCAATGCTAATATTGGAAAGTCTATAAAACATTTGTCGTTGTAGAAGAGGACACAATAGTCAATTATCAATTATTTATTTACACAACACTAGTTTAGCTGTAATCGAGTGTCACCAATAATTTATTTAAAATATTGTTTAAGAATTTTAAATGGGGTAAGTATTCAGTAAAAATACGTTTGGTGACTTTACGTGATACAATATGGATATCTTATAATAAATAAATAGACAAATATCTTATTAAATAGTGACAATAAAAATATCAACAATGTTAAAGTTGACACCCTTTCAGTTTCACACCAAATAATTTATGATGAATTATTTTTAAATATTTTAAAATATTATTTATAATAATAATATAAAAAAATTAATTTTTAATAAAATATAAAGTTAAATGTTTGCGATCCTCCTAAATATTTTAAAATTTTTAATCCTTTAAAATATTTCCTTCAAAGAATGGTGTTAAGTGTAAATTTTGATTTAATTTGAACCATCTTTCTTAGTATTTTTCAACTCAATTATCATGTTTTAATAGATTTATTTTTTGTTCTGGTGTGATTTTTCAATATTTTGCAAATACCTTTGGATGTTTTGATATGTGTGTTATTGTGCAAGATATAAGCATAAAACATTAATGAGTAAGACGCAAAAAATTGGACAAGGAAGCCAAAGAAAATATGAAGATTCTGCAATGTTCGCTGGAAAAACACTAGCGAGCAGCCAGTGAACGTTCGTTGTGCGAAGTTGCAACGAAGGACCAACGAACCATCCCAGACTAAAGTAAGTAGCTAAAGGACCAAAAGTTCGCTGTGCGAACTTGTAGCGAGGTAGTTCGCAGGGCGAAGAATTGCTCGCACAACAAACTTCATATATTTCTCAGGGGCGGCTTAACTGTTTAGAGGCACTTCAGGTGTCTAAAAGTGTGTTCGCTGGACGAAGAAACGGTTCGCAGCGCGAACATGACAGATTTTGTAAATACTATATAAATATTTTTCTCACTTTTTAGAAAGAGAAAATATATTTTGGGTATCGGAATTTTATCTCTCTTCATTCCAAGCATATTCTAGAGAGAGAAACACAACCTCTAAGACAGAGAAGCACAAATTAAAGCAACTCGGGGCTTGATCTTCGAGTAAGAGTTTTGATTTCTTGTTGGGTATTGGATGTAATCTTTTGATACCTTATATATTTCATCTAATTTATGTATTTTGAACTAGTTTTGATTCTCTATTGATGTTGACTTTGATTTCTTATTTGTGGGTCTTGACAAAACCTTTTTCAAATCTTTGATCTAAGATCATCATCTATCAATGAGAAAACTTTTGACATATTCTTGTAAGTTGATATTCACTAGTATCATTTTTATTTTATTGTGTTGATTAGTAGCATGAGTAGCACGAGTAAGATCAATTTGGTAAAGACCACGATAACACTGACAAACGATATTGTGAGGATGCGTGATAATAGTGATGAAGAACTATGTTCACATACATTCGACAAATTAGTTGAATACATATAAAAAGGGTTAATCATGTGTACGATTTTGGTCATGGTGTTATATATGAATCAAATCATTAATTTGATATGGATGTTATATGAATATATGTTGGTTCTAAACTCTAAACATAGATTTAGGTTTAACATTCATGTGAGTATCAGTTCTTAATGTTCTGTGTTGGTTTTGTTGCGTGAGATGTCACCGATGAGACAATACGGTTGGCCTCTTAACTTTGCCTTAGACATAACCTCTGTTGTGTGTGATACGTGATGATATTAGATGAAAGTTTGAGTTGTGTATAACATGATTAGAAGAATTCATGTGTTATCAATTGACGAGATCCAATCCAAACAAGGCTACGTTTTATATTTCAGTCTTTACTTTATATTTTCCGTCTTTATATTTTCAGCTTTTATCTATTGTACCTTAAACATTTTAACCAACTTTTTTGCAACAAGCTTAGAAATATAGAGACCGTTAAACGACGTTATTTCCCTCGCACCGATCCACGTGGAGACGATATAAATCCTAGAGAGAATCCTTCCAAATCTAAATTTGTATTTCTTGCCGCTTTACTGCGATTCGTATAAAATAGTGTCGTTGTATTGGTGTTTAAATATTGAAGTGCATTGCAATAGTTTATATATTTTTGAGTTTTGTACTGTCGTTTATATTGTATATATTCTTGTTTCCTTTTACGTTTTCTCAAGTGTTTGTAGGAATAAATGATGAGAACTTCTTCTATATTGGTTTCTATTTTTATAAAAGTATCCAATGAAGATACTCCCAAGTCTGGATGGTGATGATAGGATGTTGAGTGTGTGAATGTAAGCAAGGTAAATTGTACCGCTTTATAGAATGTTAGAATGATTTAAGAATTTTGTGCTTTGTGCAAATGTGTATTCTTGTTTCTTGTTGCAACTTGTTTAAATGCTTATTTCACTTAGGTCCAAAAGCTAAAAATTGTGAGAAACCTCCATTATTTAATATATGTTAGGTTGGCTGATAACTTTGTTTAATTCGTTTGATTCATACTTAATATTTTGATTATTGTAATTTTGTGAAAGCATTAGAAATGATCAAGACATTTATTTATATTGAGCACAATTGTATTCAAAAGTAATTTACCCGTGAGTAGTGAGAATTTGTTAACCCCTTTTGAGCCTAAACAGATTAGATCTCATTTTAGTGATGAACTTGGTTTATGTACCTAATTTGAAAGTTTAGTTCATCATTGAATTTTGTGAGATTCTAAAAAAAAATTGAACCTTTGAACATTGTTTTAAATTGGTATCCTTTCCATAAAAATCAATGAGCATTCGCTTGAGGTTTGGTTAAATTCAAGTTAGAGAGAATGAAAAAAAAATGGTGGGTTACTAAAAATTTTAAAAATTTTCAAGCAAGCATTGAAAAAAAGTGTGAATATGAATGTGAAAAACAAAAGAAAAAGAATGCTTGTTTGAAAAAGAAAAATAGTGAATGAAATAATTGTGCATAAGAAAGTTTGAGAAGGTTTGCAATAGAGGAAAGAAAGCAGTGAATGAAGTTGTGATGTGTAAATACCTTGTATAGTGAATGTCCTTTTGCATTAGCAACTTTGATTCAATAGCCTAAAGAAATGATCCTTTGTTGTAAACTCGGTCAAGCTACAACTTTAAAAGCCCTCGGTGATCTTTTTGCTTCCATGTTGTGAGATATTGGATCGAACTCTAGTATAGTCGAAGTCTGTTCACAAGTAATGTATGTTGTAGTCGAAGTTTGTTCTAACATGCATTAGTCAATATTGCTAGGGTTGTTATCATATTGAATTGGGCCTTACTTGTAAGCCCAATTATTTAAGTTAGCTTGTAATGGGTAATTCTTAAAATGCCCATTAGGTTAGTGTGCTATTTTTCTTATAAATAGGATACTAGTTTCTCAATCTTGTTATAAGGAAAAATAGGAAGATAAAATCCTAATTTCAAGGAAGAGAGGTTATTTTGTTATTCTTGTATACTTGTAATCTTGTTCTAAAAGAAAGGAAAGAATAGCAGTTTAGTAACCAATCCTTGTTGTTCCTTGTTGCTTTCTTCTTTATTAACCCTAACCCTTGTGTGTTTCTTGATAAGAAACATTTATACTTTGTTTAAAGGTATCCGATTCACAACAAATTGGTGCGGTGAGCATGGAGAAGATGCCTTCAACAAAGTATGAGATTGAAAAGTTCACCAGAGTGAACGACTTCGGTCTGTGGCGCTTGAAGATGAAAGCCTTATTGGTTCAGCAGGGTTGTTTGGAAGCATTGAAGGGTGAGGCAGCCATGGACGCTGCGTTAACGGCAAAAGAAAAGACGGGCATGATCGAGAAAGCCCACAATGCAATATTGTTGAGCCTTGGTGATAAGGTTCTTCGACAGGTATCAAAGGAGACTACAACATCGGGATTATGGGTGAAACTTGAAAGTTTGTACATGACCAAATCTCTAGTGAATCGACTATACCTGAAGCAAGCTTTATATTCATTCAAGATGAGTGAAGACAAAGTGTTGGCTGAGCAGTTGGATATGTTCAACAAGCTGATTCTTGATCTTGAAAATATTGATGTGAAGATCGATGATGAAGATCAAACACTGTTGTTTCTGTGTGCTTTGCCCAAAACACATGCTCACTTCAAAGAAACTCTCTTGTATGGAAGGGAGTCCCTAAACTTTGAAGAAGTTCAATC